TCAAAGAATATCATTTCTACGTTGATAAATTCACAAATAAAATCAACTGCTTTTGAAAAGGGAACATTTAAAAAGAAGAGAGATTAATAGCTTCTTAATGATCATCGGTTTCGTTATTTAAAAAAACTTAGGTATATGTTTGGCGATTCTTTGATGAATGGGTTGCAAAAGTGTAGTTGGCCAATGGGTTGTTGCTTGGTGATTTGTCATTCAAATGATGGGATGCATTGGTATACAATGGTTGTATAATTTGGGTAAATCAGATAAACGAGGTTAGTTAGATTCAATCGGAGGATACGTGACCTTGATCTCTAAACTGCTTTAATTCGCTTGTCAGTTTTCCCTGATTGATTCTTTGCATTGCATCGCATATGAACTTTGTTTGATCGGATAGAAGTTGTAATATTTTGGCTACGTAAGCAGCGCGATTCATTACCACATTGCCATTCTCGTTGTCAGGTTATCATAAGAGGATTCAAGAGTAACTTTGGAGGCCTCACAGGGCATAAACGTGTTTTGCATCAGATCTCCTTCATTGCAAACTTGTTACTACCGATATTCATAGCATGGTGCCTATGTTGATTTCATCTATGGTTGTCTATCGGTTCTAGCGCACTAGTGATACAACTTATGTAGGTGGAACGACAAGGCACTCACTTTGCCGTACCAAAGAACTCAATCCTCACTGATTCACATAAGATGAGAGTGAAACCGTGTCAAGCTCGATTGTTGCTCACGTGGTAGGGACTGGACACTCGGTTGACATGCTCTCGATCTTCAAAACTATTGGCCGAGTCTGACCACACGGTTTCGGACGTTATCGACTGCAGAGGCGATTTAACTCCGACTTGCGGCGCCTAAGCTGTGCATACAGTGAAAATCGATACAAGCACCCAAACTCCCTTGGCCAAGGGAAGAGAAAATCGCTTGTCCACATAACCATGACATGTTATCATGAATTGCGATTACGTAATCGAAGGAAGTTACCCTTGATTCATTTCTACACGTGACTCATGCAGCTTTCTGTTTAATCCTACCAACTTTTCTTTCACATAAATAGGCTTGAAAATGTTATCACTAGAAATGTATGTCCGCCTACATAGTGGGTTCTAAATGATGGCCACTTAGTGTTAGAGGGGTGTGATTAACTGAATCCAAGGAGGGGTTGCCAATCTCAGAAACCCTTATGGCAACTGGTGGAAGGTTTTCCGGCATGTGCTTTATAATTCGGCTAGATAACCTTCTCGTCGTTGTTCGGGGTACTGAATATAACATGCATAATAAAATGAGTAAATGCAGTCGAGGGTAACACGGTTCTTCATTCTGCCACGATTTGTCCCATCTGAATGGTGTATTGTTGTCGTGATTTCACAGTGCTATGCTTCAACAGGTGCATCGAACTATTCCATTAATCCAGCTCTCCATACTTTGTCCATTGGTGATTTATGGCTTCATGTCAACCTCAAATAGGTAGCTCAATTTATTCTTCGTGTCACATGGTGAACCGGACCGTTGTTCAGTGTTTGAGTGAGGCACAGATAAGAACTCTGATTTCAGTTCCGCTTCATGAGAAGTCCTCAATATGTGAGTACTGTAGCAATGAATAATGCAACAAATAACGTACCTCAAGTTGTCTGACCAACCGGTTCTATGTATGTGAGTGAGGTGAACAACATCAATCAGTAACGTTCTAGCAGCAGGTACCAAAAGGAATGTAATGAGTGGAGGGGTAATGCGGTATTTAAGTGATAGGGATCATGAATAAGAGTGACGAGAAAGTGAGGGATAGGCATTGGTCAACGTGCATAGGTTGGCTCAGTCTCACGGTGAGGTGTTAAGCAAAAGTACATTAGCGTGATATACCATGTTATACCATAAAAATAGATAGTCGGTGTAGTAGAGAAGAACATGATACCACGATGATGCATAGGATGCGGATTGTCAAACGAAGCAATATGAAGATGAAGAAATTACATGAAATGGGGATGACAAGCAATGAATGGTTAGTTAGTTCGTACACAGATTAGGACAGATGCATGGTATTGGGAAGATAGACACGGTCACCGAGAACGTGGCCCTCGGGAAGAAGAATCGCGAGAAGTGAACTCAATAAGTGAAGGACCAGGAAATGAATGTTGTACGGATTAGAGTTTAGTGCAAAACACTGGCAGCGAGTGATTTTCAAAAATAGAACGAAAAGCTCAGTACATGTGGTTTTTTTTTCTGGCTCTCACGAACTACAGATGTGGGGTTCTGCGATAATTGGAGAGGTATCGTTTTTGTTCGAATTAGCACTCTGAAAGAAGACAGATCTTAAATAATCATCCCATTCACTGTTTTCTGATCGTATGCGTTATTTGGCCAAATTAAGAGCCCCTGAAACAAAATGATCGAAAAAAACAGCAGAATCCTTGGGTCAAAAGCATTTAAACTACCCAGAGCTGCCAAGTCATAATTTCATAGCTCGCAAACAGAAGGAACATGGTCTCATCACGCAGGTCACCAGCTAGGAGGCAAACGTTTTTGTCAGAGTTTATGATCCATCTGTTTTTGGAATCCAAACTCCTTAAAGAATACCGCGTTTACACAGCGCTCCGTCGCCTTTGACTTTACTACCCGAAGCATTCAGTTGTGAATGCCTTAGACCGGCAACGTGTAATGGTGTGTTCATATATGTAATTTTGATTGATTGTGTTTTCCTAGAGACGGTTGCATCGTGATCCGTTTGGCATTTAGTCTCTAACTGGGATAGCTTTAATAGCTTAATAGCTTAAATACAAACGGGTAAATAGTATTCCGCTTCGAGCACTTTCAGATAATAACAGAAACACAATAGGGCTGACCAGTAGAGAACAAGGAAGAGCGGGTGTGGGTCAAAATGCATCTACTAGATAATAGTATTTTGGTACTCGTATTGTCACAGTTGTTTAAATCATTAATCGACCCGCGCTATCCGGAGGATGCGGCGTTTAAATACTCACACGAGTAAAAGAAAGAGAGTAAGCTCTCCGCTGAGATCCAGAAAACTCACACGCACACAAACTCGTAAACACACAAACACGCACTTGGGGGTCACGTTTAACTCATCCTTAACGGTGGAGGAGGCGCCGACCTCCACAGTAAATGCTTGTGAGAAGGTTTCGTGGCATCAATTAGGAAGGACCGAAAAAGAGCCCGACAGAGTTGTGCAATTCAGAGATTCCCATAATCGGATTGGAGTTTGTGAGAAATTGCTCTTTGTTTTCTGTGTGTCTCTCTGTCTCTCTAGCCCTCGCCGTCGAAAGACAGGATAATGAACAAGATGGGCTGGATCAAAAGAACATACTTGAATGATAATGATGATGATGATTTATTAGTGGTTGAATTCGATCTGATTTCCTCGGTATAAATAGCATTCAAGGTATCCCTTATGTCCATGTGCTGATGATGTCCTGGCACATTGAACTCATCGTTCTGTTCACGGTCTGTGTCTTTGCGCCTGGAACGCGGGGTGCAGGTGAGTGAACAGAATCCACCCAAACGATGTTCTATGATTATTATTATTATTATTATTATTATAACCACTGCCCAGCCAAATCGATTAATAATTTTTTTGATTTACCCTTGAATTGCGTCTTCCCTTTGGTTTTTAACGGGTTTTAATATCGGCAAGAGCATATACGGAGAAGAAAATCATCCCGATTGGTTTAAAACATCCATTCCAGACTCATAATCCCTATTGCCTTCCGGTCATTCTTGTTTCGTTTTTTAGTGTACATCATTCAAGATCATACAACAATTCATCGTGATCACTATGCATCCGAAAGGTTAATGTATTGTGCACAATCCATTCGTGTAGCGAATGTTTCCGAGAAATAAATATTTTGAAAATAAATAGGATTGTATTCAAAGCAACCCAATATGTTGGGTAGATATGTTTATCCAAAACGAGCGAGTGTAATAATAAGGGTTTAGATCAACATACATCTAAAACATTCAGTCTCATGTTTCGCCAGATCAAAAGCCCATGTACTGACCACAATATTGAACTTAATGACCACGTCAATGCTGGTCTGTCGAGCTTTTATTTCAAAAAAGCCAACGGAACACCACCATGCGCGGCTGAGCACGGGAACAACTAAGTCACTTACCAATGCGGTGGTTTCACATCTAGCTGAAACAAAGCACACTTTGATGTGGCCAGGGATTTTCCGCCCTGTATAAAGTTGGTGGGCGATTATCGAAGCAGGTTCACTATCGAGCGCTGGTCACAGCAGGAGCGGTGAACATTCGTCTGCACAACCTCCCTCTGTATTCTCCAAAGCCATTTGTGCCAGTGCTAAAGCTTTCCTTGCCTAATCCCCCATCCACATACTCCACATCAAGAGTAATCTCGATGATTGAGTGAGTGGACCAACAACCAAGTGGTAAATCTGTTTCCCGGTTTGATGATTAAGCCATTTCTAGTAATCTGTAATGTAATCTTATTTTCTCAAGCCGACTTTATTCCCAAGTAGTGACATATGTAGATACATATGGATATTGAGATTTATTGGCATGAGTACGAATATCTTCAAGTGAGCTTGTTCGTCACTCTGTTGTCTCGATTGATATGTGCTGTGCGGGACTATTTCGACAAAAAGACAAGTCTTGTTCCTGGATGAATGTCATGATCAGATAAGACCTGGTTTATTCAAAAGTTGCTTATTTGCATTGTTTTGTAAATGCGATCATATCACCATACAGTCACAGACACAGTCCAGTAGCGCTTCTGTGATTAAAGCACGGAAGCTGAATCACATACTGCTACGGTTCTGTGTTTCACAGATGCGATAATCATATATCGTGAATTCTCTTAAAGCTGAACATTTCCTAATCTATGCATCTGTATCGTAGCTTGTTTCCCTATTCCTCTCTCTCTCCCTGTGCATGTTGGCATAACAGCACCGGCAGCACCCATTATTTCGGATGTTTTGCGGACCACACACGGATGGTACGTGACTTGGACGTTGGGTTCCCCAATGAACGTGTTCATCAACTCGGTTCGAGTGATGGATTCGGACGGCCGCGTGCGTACGACCACTTCATACGGTAGCAGTAATGGAGCTTCTCTGACTTATATTCGACCTTGTACGAATTACACGGTTTGGGTCAAAGTGAGAGGACTCGGTCCATGGTCCGCGGAGTCAGAACCGTTCCATTTCCGATCGGACACATTAGGTGGGTTTTCCCGTCCATTAAAAAGTGTGCAGTGTGTTACCCGTTTTCTTCTCTACACATTCTCCGGTCATACGATCGTTTTATAATGCCGTCAGATTCCTTACGCATGATATACTGCTACTCACCTTCTCTACAATCTGAAGGCCTGTTTTTATGTGCGTATATTAATTCGATCTATGAAGTCAACACAAAATTGAGTTCGCTTTGTCATGAGACAGCTGAAAAATAACGAGAGATTGCAAAATTTCTATTTTAAACAACGGTTTTGGAGCATAATAACGTGTNAACGTGTTGAAACTTTTCTATCTTTTTGAGTAGTCCTGCCTTTAATTGCTTCAAAGGATGTAGAAACAACGGTTAAAATGTTATACATTATGAAATGAAAATTTGAACTAGTAGCATTTATTAACCTGTTCTGTAGCTTCAATTTGATGGAATCAACCAGAGGGTGGTGTGAGGAAGAAGTATGGTTTTCAAGCCAGCAAAACGTGCAATCGTGTTCAAGTGATTCAAGTCANCAAGTCAGTGCGCTCCCTAGTTCCCAGTGTTCGTCAGTTAGAAGCCTATCACTGCAATGTCACTTCACACTCTTGAGTATCCGATGATAGCCCCCGGATTTTCTGCTTTTCACTTTCTAACACTTGATTTCACACTCATTTATTCAATAGAGTGAAGTTAGAATACTAGGAAGGCAAAAGACACTTGAGGTTTTATATGTATAATTGATTCATCCATCTCATTTATTTAATTTACCTGTCACATGACAAATGTTATAGAAATTCCACCGCCACCAACAAACTTGAGCACAGAGGTGACATACTTGGGGCGCACATTGCATTGGACCCCTCCAAACACGACGACGCACATTCGCAATTATCGAATAGTCGGTCACACGGGATCCGAGATCATTGAACAGAGTGCAACTTACGACAGTACAGAAGCGGTGCTCGAAGCGTTTCACAATTGGCACAATTATTTCGTTGTTATGTATGCGGAGAATCTGTGTGGATCATCCGAGCCATCCGAAGAGATTCATATCGAGCAAGTTTCAGNACTAATCCGATCGTTTTGCGGTCGTCCTAGTCATTACAGAGAAGCTCTTTCTCTCTCACCTGAGGGACTGAGGGAGTGACAGAATGAGTGTTTCCCTCAGTGGATCAAAAGGTGGGGGTAAACGGATTAAGGGTTGGCAACAGATTACGTGGCAGTCCACTTAGAACAAAGCCTTAAAGAATCAGTAATATCGTCTTTTACTGACGTGCATTGATTCGTAACAAGATGCTTTATTTAAACTTTTGATTTGAACATATTATAAAAGGCGCCAGTTAAACACCACACGTAAAAGGCTTTGTTTTCTAATTAGAAGAACCAAGCTCACATCAGGGTTGTACTGAAAAGAAATCTAATCCGATTTAGTTTAGTCGTAAGATGTAGACAAAACAGGAATCTTCACAATACAGTTTGGCACATCCTCCTAGGACTGGGGTTGCACATTGCCCAATTAAATGCTTCCATCGGAGTTAAGCAATCCACAAAGAGGTGATACGTATACTCTTTGTTTAATGATTCTCAAGCGATAACAGTTCCCCTCCAAATCTCAGAAATTATCATCTTTTGCGATTTGATTGAGCAGCAGTTTCAAGGGATGGTGGTTGAGTGTTCTTTTTATTACAAAATTCCACAAACTCCACACCAAGTCAATGAAGACAGTTTGGTTTACTGTAGTGACTAGGTATTGGTAGCAGGAACTGTCTCGTGAAATTATTTTTTGAATTGTGTTGCATATTTATCTATAAGTTCTTCAGATTGTAAACAATTCACCATGCGGTGAAAAATAAAAATAGAATAGTTATGTTATACGGATTGCTAAACAACAGAAGATTTCAAAGCTCGTTTGGGGTCTGAATGTCTGTCCGAGATAGTGAGTTACTGTGGCCGTTGAGAAGCCATGAGGTTTTTGCACTTATCGCTTGTTCTGTTGTAATCACAACCAGCTCTATACAAATCGATCTCTCAGCTCAGATGAGATTGTGAAAAGTTCAGTAGTCTCGGTGGGATTTGAATCCACGTATGGACGCCGCCTAAGATTGTACTTCACACGCTCTACCAGCTGAGCTACAAGGCTACACCGATAGGATTGATCGTTTCACAATCTCAATACACCACTTCAGTTTGCCAAAACCTTTCAAATGAATCATCTACTCAGCGGAATTATTCGATTTTGAATACAATACCCTTGTGGGATGAACAATCACTACCACCACCAACACAATAACAACAACCCAAGAAACCATGCATTTACTGTCCGGTTATGAGATCGGCCATTGGACTTTAAATGATGAATCGTAAATTACCAAGAAAAGGCCCATTGCAAGACTGTCCACCGATATTATTCGGTCACGATGAAGTAACTCAAACCATGTGTGCTGGTGATGAACAGTATACAGTGCGTGCTGGACAAAACTCTTATGACAAGGGTTTAAAATGTTTATCTTGACATGCATTCATCACATCGCGAGGGGGAGAAGGGGTGGGCAGAATTGGTTTCGAGATGAAAAACCTGTAATCTGGTATCAAGTATACCTTCAAATTTGGTGTTGTTTTTGCGGGAGGGAGTCCCGTTGAGTTTGTGCAGTGACTGGTTTTCAATGATCATAAGGGAAGAGTATCCTGTTTGTGAATGAACTGTTTCTAATTTAACCTTGGAGGATCTACAGAATTTTCTCAACAACAACAATGATGGTTTCAAGGCGTGCTCTCTCTGTTTGCTACAGTTTGTTTTCCCATCCTCCTGTTCCCCCTGCCCGTACCCTCATTCCCTCCCTTACCGTGCGACTACCACATTGGTTATCTAGCTCCAAACAAACCTCTAATCGTGGATATCCAGGACGCGGAATCCTACGTCACAATCTACTTCTCACGTGGCCATAAAAATGATATCGTGACACACTATCGAGTCAACTATACCGGATTAAACGGATTCTATGAGATCAATAATATTTCCGCGAGTGCTAGTTCGGTGAATTTGACCGAGGGAATTCAGAGCTGTTTTAATCACACAATCGAATTGTTCGCGGTCAATTCGATTGGCCAATCAGAGCCAGCAATGGCACACTGGGTTGTACGTTCAGCAGGTACATTTGTTTCCTGTATACCCCTGGTCCTAATGATTCCATCGTTTCTTCTACATCATCTGATGGTCATCCAAGTCGGATAGTTACCGATACAAATTCTGTCCACATTCACTGTTTTACAATTCACACCAACCGGATCATGCTGATCCTTTTTATTCTTACTTCGCACTTTCTTTTTTGCAAATCTTTCTCGTGCAGACGTTAAATTAGTTAGCCACACACATTTATCTATACATCCTCATTACTTAAAGTCACTATCTATATTCATTGTGTTGGATAACGAAACATACTTATAATTTGGTTTTTCAATAATTTTAAACATATTAAATGGGTATCAAAAATACGATATTTTGTTATAAATTATTACCCAACTTTAAACATCCATCGTAACATCTCACCACCTGTTGACAACAAGTATTTGCCAAGGAAATTGTACATTACGTGAAATCGACGGTTTTGAAGTTTAGCATGAGTTTCAAATAGCATAGTTATTGAAATATCTTGGGATTGAGGTGGTGGTGGCTCTGTGGTTTAGTTACTCTCACCGACGCGCTTTGGATCCGAGGTTCGAGCCCCATCGTCGCTGTCACCCGGTTCTATACCACGCCTGAGCTAGCTGGATCTCATGTGGTTCGCCACTCCAAGCCCCGGGGCTTACGTCAATGGTTACCATCACTGAACAGCAGGTCTTCGTGACCATGGGGTCCGCCCGGACTGCTGTTCATCACACATTGGTGTGTGATAAAAAGTTTCTAGGGCCTGAACGTTGTTTCCCTAATGGGAATACCCATACAGTCAAATGCATGAGACTTCAAGTTTTCAAACAGTCCACGGCGGTGCTTTAAAATCTGATGACAGACAGTCGATCTTCGAAAGAGACAAGTCAGGTGTGTATGGTTTTATGCGAAAAAATAAGTGGAATTGCTTCATTCTCCCTTGTGCTGCATTCGAACATCTGAAATTCGTGGGTGGATCCGTTGGAGATGTATGAAGGTGAGTTCTATTTTAAACTTTAACCGGGATATAATGTTTTATTCCACTTTCTCTAACCACATCGATAGCTGTCATCGAGCAAATATGTCCTCATCTGGACAAGCACCGCCTACTAAGGAGAAGCAGTGAGAACATTTCAAATAACTACCATACTAAGAAAGCCGAATGCTTGTGTCACTTGTGTGATTGTATTGATTTGTTTGTGTAAATCCATTTTGTGCTTAGAAGTCGAATCTATCAATGGGCGGTAGTTTTCAATGCTCTCTGATTTACTTGTGTATTGCAGAAAGTCCACAAAAACCGATTATCACGTCTGTGGACCAGATTGATGGGAAGTATGTGATCAATTGGAAGGTGGTCTCAAATTTGAGTATCACGGTCAATCGACTTTCGTACACATCGACCCAGGGCGACAAAGGAACTGCTTGGATTGAGGGTCAGGTGAACAGCTATGTGCTGAATTTTGTGCATCGCTGTAGACAATACACACTCCAACTGGTGTCAGAGAACAAATGTGGCTATTCACCCGCGTCGGATCCGTACATGTTTGATGTCGTGCCCCTAAGTGAGTTTCTCTATGTAAACTGGACACATTGCATCTATCTGAATCAGTAAATGCAATTTTGTTATTTTTACCAACACCCTGAAAACCATGCAAAAGTGAGAACGAGGCCCAAGTTTGAAAACATAACGATAATGATAAGGAGATTTGTCTAAAAGACACGGAAGATAGCTGAGGTCCATCGTTGTTTATATCTGTGATACCCGGGACGGAGCACAAATTCTTACTTGGGTGTTAGCTGTATCTAATAGGTGTGATTTATCTAATATGATGGAACTTGGTGTCAGTTTGGGATCATTCCGTCCACTTGGCCTGTATCAATCAGGCAACAACTACCTATGGCTAAAACAAACCCACTCATTCATTAAGTGGCAGGTAAGTAACCTCGACAAATGAGGCCTCATTCCGTCAACGGGTTGCAATGCGGAACACAAAGAAAGGTTTTCCTTAGAGGACGGACGACACCTACTATCTAATTCCAACATCTACAAAGAAAAACCAGTCCAACTAACAAGTGTCCATGGCTTATTGGATTACATCCACATCCATCAAATGACGAATGAGCTCCTCGGGAGCCACGGTACGCATGGGTATCAAAGCATTTATACCTTGCAGTACGCGATTGGTTGTGTAAAATAACTAGGTGGTTTCTGTCGTGATGCCTGTCGCATGACACTGCATGGAGATTTCCGGTTAGTTGTGTAACCAGCTGGAAGAAAAGAAAAAAAGTTAAGTTAACCGTCAGATATTCTTGACTTATCACATCCTGTGGAGATGCATAGATGAAACTGTATGTAACTCCGTCGCGCACAAAGACAACATTTGTTAGTCGCTCAGAGAGCAAGGGACATGCAATCATGTTTTACTTGATAGGAAGAACTCACCGTATTGGAGGTTAGATCCAGTTGCCAGTTACGCCAGGGAATCAATTAAACGGAGGCTTGATTATAGTTTAGAATACTATTCAGGAAAATTACTCGATTACAGTGTAAGTAGAGTTAAAAGTGTATGATGCAATGAATGAGTAAACAACTGGAAAGTTAGGTAGTCGATCATTTTAAATTTCTGTTCACAACAGTGTCCTCTAAATAGAATTTTGAAAAGACTAAATCCTTGTTTCTGAGATATATATCTGGGTATTCCTCACCTTATTCACATTTTGTTATCAAACTAAAAAGGTTAGTAGATTGTCCAGATTACTTAAATTACCTAGCATGTGCACCTTTTCGAAACTATTCTATATATAACCTCTCCGTTTTGGATCGAGCCTATTTGTTCGTTCTTGCCCAATTCACATCGCATTTCAGACCCTCCGCAAGTTCCGTTGGATCTGACCGCAAACGGTACTGACCAAGAACTAACTCTGTCATGGGCAGCTCCCTCATCGTCGGAATATATCGATGCATATGAGGTTGATATTGCGGATAAGCAGGGCGTGTTTCGCTACTACTGGGCTCCATCAAACGCAAAAAGCATTACAATTCGAGGTCTGAACAAGGCTACCACATATTATGCAAGTGTGACCGGGCAGAATGCATGTGGTTGGTCTCCGTTCGCGGAAATCACTGTGCAGCTAAACATGGACGGGGTGATTGTCCCCATGGACGCGGAGCCAGACACGCGCTAATTGGTACCCGAGAAAATGGAGTTATCGCGACGTGTCTGTGTGCGTGAACTGTACGTGACTGTATGCCAGCAACATGCGCGTGTACTTGCATGTATGCTTGCGTGTCATCACTTGAATGCGCTAAATTTGAACTTTCTAATTACCGGTCTCTGATTCGATTCCCGCATTATAATTTATAATATAGCCTAATATAATACGCTGCTTTTTGTTACTCTGTTGTCATTGACGGGCTGGATTGAACCGTGTGAAGCGAAGTCGATGAGTACGGTCGATTAACAACGTCGAACAAGTCAAGTTTCATTTGCGCACTGTCATGTGATAGGTTTGTTCCGTCTCTGAGTTGGAAAGGAAACTAAGCGGGTGCTAAGCTTGTGATGAATCACTCGTGGATTATGACAACGTGATAGATATCTCTGCTTCTGAGCATCTATCGAACTTAATGAACAAAAGGTGCTCCCATAGGATGTCTTGTTTGCTCCCGAAGGCTGTGAAATAATCAACGTTCATATCAGCCCCGTCTACGTACCTGTGTTCTCAATACTGTACTTACGGAACGCCTACAATTGTAATAAAGGACTGTGATGGAAGAAGAATTTCTGGCACAGAGAAGATTCCACTAAGATGCGCAAAAACTGAGGGTTGAAGTAAAATGTTTTTTTCTTCGGATCAAATACCGACGTACTTTATGCTTCTTTATCGGACTTATATAATCTTTTCTTTAATGGCTATGGTCTTGTCACTTGTAATTTTAGTAAGTTACCAACTACCTAGAGAATATGTAAGTTTGTTGCACCTTGTCCTAAAATCCAACTATGTTGCAGTTAGATTATCTCTTCAGTCGGCCGAAACTAGAATATCATGGTATTTCTGCATTTCAACTCACTGGATGACGTTGACTGAACTGAATTTCTCAGTCATTTAAAGGATAGTGTGTAAATACATGGGTATTCTGTCTCTGAAAATCAGAGCCTGTGTTATTAGAAGCAAAAAACGGAATTGATGCCTTCTGGTGTCCGGTGAAGAAAAGCTGAGCTACGATGATGAACCACGCATGGTTCTAATCTTACACTTTCAGTTGTCCACCCACAGTCGGCATATTAAAAGGAAAGGTTTCATTACCTGCCAAACTAACAATTTCGAGCAGTGTTCGAACTCTATTCAGGATAAAAATATATTCAATCAAGAACCGATCGTATGAACTGAAAGAAAGAAAACATGTACAGAGCAGGCAAACAATATTAAGCTCATCATCTTCAAACCAGGTACATGTTGATGCGCAATCCACGTTGAAGCTTCTCATTGAACTTACGATTCGGGTACATGAACGAGACAATAGGAATTTTGATTATTCCAAAGTTGATTTAAATCTCAAGCATCTACTTCAGAATGACAATTTGAGCTAAACTAAACTACTGGTTAATTATGATTACATACCTGACGGAACTAATCGAAATGGAAAACAACTATTCATCACAAAACTTACGTTATTGTCGCCAATCGGAAAATGAACAGAGCTGGTACAGAACAGTAAGTTATATGATTATTCAAAAAGATTATATTGCTAAGTACAAAATATAGAAAAACTTTTGATAGATAGATAAATAAAAATCACTTTGCATGTAAGCACTATTGAATTGAATATGAATTGTAGTTTATTGTCCATTCCTCCGTCAACGTGATCGCAGACGAATATACACAAATTTTGCGAAGTCTTTCTTTTCTTGTTGGCCATACGCATATAAAATCTAGAACTGTACCAACATTACCACCGTCGTATTCTCTCACCGAGCTTTAAACTTACATGATCCGATACATACTGATAATCTTGTGAAAAACACGTAAAGTAAATCTGTGAACCACAGACCTCGAAAACAGTTGTAGCGATTCATTGTTCTCCTTCATGCAACCCGGACATTTTCCAAAATCTCTCGTTAAATGGGAATCTACTTTCACAATAGGCGAGCATCACAGGTTATTTATAAGAATGAGTCCAATTTTGAACCTTTATAGGAGACGATCCCACGAACCTCGAGGTTCTCTGAAATCTGCACTCGCAATCCATCACTCCGAATTGCTAACTAGCAGTTTGAAGTTATTCAAAACTGCATTAAGTAAAACCTGGTTCCGTTAGCTAAATGCATTGATTTTATTTTTAACTTAATCAGAATGCGAAGATATAAATGTAGGCTAAAAGTGACATTAGTAAAATCAGGATGGAGGTTAAGTGAGTCAGACAAACTTCATACCGCGTGGAAATAGGAGGAAGAAGAGGAAAAGGAGAGGAGGAAGTTAGGGCAAAGAAGGAATGGGAGAGGCTGAACGCGGAGGAGTAGAAAAAGTAAAATGGGGAGAATGAGAGGGTGGCGGAAGAAGGAGAGAGAGAATAGGAGAAGGAGGATGAGCGGGAGAGAGAAGGAAAAGCCTTGTTTCTGTGTTCCATTAACTAGCCAAATTACGATAACATCATATCAACCACAGTTCGTTAAAACAAGAAAACGTATGTGAGCAAAATGAATACTGGTAGTCAATTCCATGTGTTCGTATCCAGCTGTAAACGCTCATTGAGGAACATTGATGTAAGACACATAATTAATTGTGAATTCATGCAATATAATGAGAAACACCATATTCAATTGTTCAAAAGGGAACGAGTTTTAAGTTAACAACATAAAAGAACAGTTGGTTAATTGAAGATGTATCTGAGAATAATAATGACTGTGGAATATTTCAGTCGGTGATGAATACAATAGGAAATTTTAGAGTCAGAAATGTGCTTGTGAATCAGTAACGTAGAACGCGCAGTCTTATCACAACCGTCTCCAGGATCCTCAGGCCCTCTTCGAACATAATCTTCGGGTGATGTCCCGATCGAAATTACAAAATCATATCGAAATAGTAGTTGGTCTCGGTCTTTGTTTCATCCTCTACCAGAACATTATGTAAATGTTGGATGTAATGTTCTCAAGAAAAGACATAAGAGCCGTCTAACTATTCAACTTACTTGGCAGGAATAAAGGACATTGATTGTGAAATCCGTCTTTTATCCGTATCGGGGGCAGTGGTTGATTTGAATAGCTGATCATTAAAACGGTGGCATCGGTCTACATATGAGTGGTCCAGCAAGTGTGGACACGATTTCACAGTCAGAATAAACGATTTGCACATAGTAACAGTTACTTATTGAAAACCGGTCAACAGCGAACGATGTTTATGCAGTACAAAAACAAGAATGTTTCATCTAAGTGAACTCATCAAACAATTAAACCGGATATAGAAAAGTTATGCAACAGGAAATTGGTAGAAAGAGTTGGGTATTATGGAAGCAAAATGATGGATTGTCAATGCTGGAGTTGAAGTAAAGCAAGGAATTGAAGTCCGGAGTGTGCCAATGTTTAGCCTAGTTAAAAGCAAGCCTGGGGATAGAGTACTGAGCTATGATTATCCCATCCTAATATAAACCTGATATTTCTGTGCATTTTGCTCAATTAACTGAACCAAATTTTGACATTTGTTCCGTTTGTGGTCATCAGTAGGACGGTGCTATCGAGCACTTAGCTTTCACTTTTCATTAGACGAGGACTGAGCAAAACGTGTCCGGCGTACGGAGTACATATGAGTACGAGATGCAGATGAGCAGGTAAGAAAAAAGTGAACTTTAATCTATTGTAAATACTGTCCAATGATTGCAATTCAGAGAACCAGTAGCAGCAGCAGCATCGGCAGCAGAGTGTTGATCGTTCGCGAGCTGCCTTCAATGATGACGTTCCGTGTGACGTTTTTGTGCTCCCAAATGTGTCTCGACTTGATTGAACTGGTCGAAGAGTTACCCGCTTTGAGCTGTTTCACTAAGTGGGTTGAGTGTATGGAACTGTGCAAGAACGCCGGTGGAGAACACTTCGGGTAGATGTAATGCCTATTTTTGTGTAACAAATAAAGCTTTTTGTGCATCCGGGAAGTTTTTACTCAACCCCCGTATATCAGATAAGATTGGCATAACTTGGCATCCTAAAGCTACTTCATCTGTCTGATGGTCGACTGTGCAATTGAAGATGAACTGTATATTATAAACATATTTTCAGTAGCATTCTCAATTAAGTTCCGTGAAATTCATTTTCATTAGCATATTTAAAGACCTCCTCCACGGCTTCTCCCACAGTTATATTCGGAAAATCGAACCGAAAAATAAACAGCTTTAAAATTGATACAAAGCTTGAACCTTTTGTTTACCATTTGAAAGATCTCTTTCTTCTGTTTCTCCTCTTCCTTCCTTCCTCTTCCTCATCTTCCCCTTTCCCCCGCATCCGATTGTTCCTTTTACTTCCTCTCCTCTTCCTCCCCTTCTTGCTCTCTCTATTCTGAATTCTCTCTCTCTCAATCCTCCCCCAACTCCCTGGCCACATCAAATTTCTCCCATTTTTTTATTCTCCTCATCTTACGCTGCGTGAAACTTGATCTGCTCACTAAAATTAAAACCGCATAACACCATTGTAAACATTTACCGCACAGCAATACTTTGGCATGATGACTATTTTGAAAAATATCTGCCTGGTAGACGGAATCAGGGAATTTTCAAGGACTTTATAACTAGAAGAACCGGGATGATGATACCAGTCGTTCATTATGGCCCAACGTTCGATTATTCGTCGCTGTTTAGTGACAAGATTTCGCGCTGTATAGTGTCCTAAATCGATTCCCTCTCTATGTAGACTGTCGAATGAAACAATAGCTACAAACCAGACCTTTGTAGTCGATTAGTATAAGGACATGAAAATAGCATTTTATTATTGCCAAAATGATCAAAGTTAAATGTTTTCTGATGACAGGTATGCGAAACAATCAATGAATCACTCACTCACTCACTCACTCACTCACTCACTCACTCACTCACTCAATCAATCAATCAGTAAATCAATCAATCTATCTATCTTTCTATGGCTAGCTTTGTATTTAGCTATCTGCCAATTTTTCTATCTTTCTGTCTACTACTCCAGCTACTTTCA